ATAATGGGTTATATAAGGTTTAGGGGTCCCCTGCGCTTACAGTCCCATCTCTTCATCCGATGATAATACTATTGCCATTCCTTACGTGGAGGTTCCAGGTAGTTCGCACCCAATCATACATGTAGCAATGCCCCAGTTGTGATAGACGACCCCCGAGTCCCCTGAGTATACTTTTATGCAGGTTCTAAGTTCTAAGTAAGCCATAGCTGCTACTACGCAACAAGCCTTATGGGCATCCACATATAGTCCCTTTGGATCCTTCATAATCCCTCATATACTTCCCATTATATTGCTGACTCGGTCCAGGACTCATGTTCTGACAACGGCACCGCACCCTGAACCAGTCGCAATATCAGCTGCTCTTGCTTTTTTGTGCTTTAGTAGTCTTCTTTCTGTTGCTGTTGGTTGGCTGTCGTCAGGTGAGCAAATGAGGCTATCAGGCCACAACCTGAACTGATGAAGACGGCAGCCAATTCCACCCTGGGAAGCTGAGACTTTGACAATAAGACCGGCTGGCCCAACTTGGTACGCTGACGACTCCAAAGCCTCCCACTGGGCAACGCCATAATCTTAGGTGCTACAAGTGCATCCTCGCAGGCTTCTATTGCACACGGCTCATGAGCAGTACATCTTTGGTTGAGTCTTGGTTTCAGTGCAGAATCCGTGGGTTTCAAACTGCCAAGGGGGCTTGCGGCGGCTTCCGATTTACGTCACCGTACCAGATGTGTCTGAAAGAATTGCAGCCGTGCGGGCAGAGGTCTGCTCTGCTAAAAACTGGGGTGCCCTGTATGAACCGCAACAATATGCTATACTTAGAGTAGAGGCTCCCCAAAAGGACCCATAGTTGTTGGAAACACCTATTCAGCCTACATATGCGAGACGTGGTGCAAATCAACGTTTCCATAGAAACTTGGGGCCCCAAGCAGCGTATGATACTTGACTGCGATGCTAGAGCATCCAAACTCTTTAAAGCGTGTGCTTGGCTTGCGGTGAGGCCCTGCAATTTGCGGAGCTTCGACTGTCAGAGAGCCAGCTCTAGAGACTCAGCGCCTTTTTCCGCCAGCACTTGGCCTCCGAGATGCACCTATGAAACTATCCGATACCAAAGCCTTCCGGCTTACAAAACGCATTTTCGCCGTGAGGCTACAGAATGGGTTTTCTGCCCTCATCGTAAGCTCCTAAGGGCCGCAAACTCTAGGGAGTTGTTGTTGTTGCCAATATTGTTGCTGCTACTGTGTGCGTACCGCTATGGGCAGTGGCTACGATATTTTTGGTGCTACTGCTACTGCTGCTACTCCTTCTCTTCCTCCTCCTACTACTCCTCCTCCGCTGCTGTCGCTAGCAGCAGCAGTGCCAACAGGTATGGAATAGGACAATGAACCTTGAGATTCACAAGCACATCTTGACATGGCACAATCTCTTGAGGGAAGCCCCTGCAGCCGTGAAGTGGTGAATCATGATGAAACTCCGGTATAATGCCTGACAAAGGAGTTATCAACCTGTTTGGCTTCCATAATATCATCTTCATCTACATCAAACGAAAGAGTGCTAGTTTGGCAAGTGAAAAAGTCGTGGAGCCCTTGTGTATGGCAGATCTTTGGGTGGCCCAGGCGGCAACCGATATGTCTTTGGGTGAGGGACAGCATGAGGTCAGGGGTGAAGCTGGCAACCCCCAACAACAAGACTATGACCCAATGGTGGCCGTATGTCTTGTACTGAATGTTCTTTGCTGTTTCCCAAGCTTCCGTCTTTTGATAGCAGAAAATCTATGGAGGCTGTGTCAGGGTCGCGTGCATCTTGCACCTTCTTCAGACTCAGTGCCCGCGCCTGTACAAGCATGCTGCTTCGCAAGGGTCACAATCCACAATGCAACCACAAGCGACTGCCAGCTACACCCTGTACGTGCTTGGGTGGGTGGCCGCATGTTCATGTTAAGTGAGCAGTCTTTCCGGTCTCTTCACGCTTTCGAGCATTGGGATGTCGCGTGTCCCTTACAGACTTCGACATACTTGGAGCACTCCCAGAACTGGATCACTCATCTAAGGGCTCAGCTCAGTCCGTGACTCTAAGAAATTTCAATCAGCCTTTCATTCCACCTCTATGTCTGTGTGATTTCTTTCTTTTCAACGAATCACGGGGAAGGGCAAATCGCGCCTAAGCCGCACGGCCCTCGANNCGAACTCATTCATGCCCAGGAACCTATGGAAGCAACAGACTTTTCCGAAAGCCACTACAGGAGGCGGTTAATATGGAGGACTGCAGAATATAGGGCCTACAGGCTTCCCATAATAGGGCTACTTAAGGGGTGTAGTTTTGGATTCCTTTTTTCCGCTCGTTTTCGGTTTCCTTACTGCTTGCACTCATTGACCAATCGATACTCTTCCTTGCAGTTCAGCTCAGGACTGCTTGCAGAACAGTAGAGGTTCCTTAAAGCCTTAAAGTCCAACAAGCCTGAACCATCTTTGCCAATGTGAATTTGAATCTACCTCCTGAAGGGTTCGAGGTCTCAGGGGCTGCATCTTTCTCTGTGGGAAAGGTACACTAACCATTAACTACGAAAGAGGGCCTCCGTTACTGTCTGCCTTCTTTCATGTTGTCCTTGCTTCGCATGGTTCAAGAGTTGGTGCCTTCCTGAAAGGTCCTTGTTAAAGGGCCCTCCGAAACTTCAGGTATACTGAAAGCTATCATGTAGGATGTAGTCAACCGACCTCAGGGTTTTCTATGCCGACCATTCCGTAGCTGTGTCACAGATCGAATCCTGCCAGGTGTTCTACTCAAGATTCAAATACTTCGGGGTGGAGTATGTGAGTAATGGGGGCATCTGCTAGAACATGGTTGAGTACTAGGATCTCACTTGCAGGACAGAACAAAGCTATCCGTGTTTATCCGCAGAGCATCGCGATCCATAGTTGAAGGAACACCACAACGTCATGAGTCATTTTGACAAATCCCGTAGCATG